CATGAAAATTTAGTCAGCAAATCACTCGTCAGTTCTCAGCTGTGTCACCTCAAAATAGGCTTACCCCCATCACTTTTGCACAAAATTCTTTCAATATCTTTCACAGCACTATTCTCACTTAATATTTACATTATTTTTTGTTTTGTTGTCTATCCCTATAGACCTCACCTTTTTACTTCCTCCTCTCCTTGTTGTAATACCTGGGCTGAGAATAATGCTTGGTGCTTACTGAGTACTTACTCTATAGATTCTGCTGGATGAATTCATGAAAGCCTGAATGAATGAGTGAACACTTTACATACAGCAGACGTGGCATAAGGCACATGACAAAAGGCACATCTATTTATTTATCACCTTTAAAAGAAACTGAAGCACCAACTCTGAGACTGTCATTCAAAGGGACATGTTAAGTGCATATGCTGCCTTTTCTGTGTGCATTGTATTTCGGGGTCACCAATTACTAGTAGATGAGGGCAAGTTCCTTACAAAAGCATCATAAAATGTAGAGGAAATGATAGGATGTGGGGGTGGAAAGGAAGGAATCACCATCTTTACAATCCCTAATGAAATAATGTATTCATGCAATGATCATTGACAAGTGAAGTCATTAGGTAAAAAACACAGAGGGGGGAGCGACACAATAGAGGCATCAAGATGTTAACTCGCTGAAGCTACTAGTCAAGCTCAGCATCACCAAAAGTAGAGCAGTCAGACCATATGTTCCTCCCGTGAAGATGCCACATGAATACATAGCACCATGAAAGCAAGACTTCTTGTCAACAAAGTAGAATCTGATTCCAATCAAGCCTCTACATCTAACTCCCAGTTTCTAGTAATTTGAGTGATAAAAAATAAGTTAAATGACCATACACAGCCAAACCCAGAGTGTGGAACATTCTACTGCCCAAGTGGTTTAGTTTTTTCAACAAGCAAATGAACAGGGAATATTCTAGATAAAAGAGACTAAAAAGACTCAGTAACAAAATAAAATGTATGTACTACTTATAAGCCGATGCAAATAAGTCAACTGCAAAAAGACAACTATAAGAAACATGATAGAGAAATTTACATATGGAATGAGAGGTAAATGATATCAAATAATTGTACATATTGTTCAGTGTGACAACGGCATCATGTCTTTGTAGGAAAATGTGCTTTTTAAGAGATGCATACTAAAGCTCAGAGGAGTGGATACGACATGAGGTCTACTTGTAATAGCTTCTGAATAAAAGGGGAAAGGGATCATTGAATCCGGGTGGGTGCACATGGGTGTTTCACTCCATGACTGTCTTCTTTTTAGCATAAGTTTGAAATTTTTCTAAATAAAAGGTATTTTTTAATAGAAATAAACAAAAAGTCTTCAAAAACAAATCACAGCTTCCCTCTTTCCTGCTAGCCACATATGAAACTCTTGACATTAACAGCAACTTTTCTTTTCACTTAATTACTTCATTCCCACTTCCACTGCACATGCACTCAGCATATAATTCACTTTTCAAAGCTGGTCTAAATCTTCCCAACACTGGCAGGTGTGTTGTAGCCATTTTTCTAAAACCTCACTTCCAGACTGAGGAAGATAATGTACAGGGGAGGCGTGGTGGAGCAAAGCCTTTATCTCTGGACAAAGATTCTTTCCTGGTCTCTAGTTCCCATTTTTTTCAGTTGAGAAGGAAATTTCCAGGCCTTCTCACTCTGTTCCCTGGGGAGAAGATCCGGCTGCTGGCCTGCTATCACCAACTGGCCTCTTCAGTGCTACAGAACGAGGTGCCTCTTGAACAGAAGAGACACCCTTCAAGCTGAGAAACAGGAAAAGGAGTGTCAAGCAAAGGGAGAAAGGGGGCAGGTAAAACAGTGCAATTCCCAAATTGCCAGTTCTCTCTTGATAGTCTCTCCATTTCCACTACCTGAGAGAGAAACCTCGTCCCTCAAAAAAGATGATATGGCACAAACTCAGCCTTCTCACCACGTCAGGGTTGAATACTCTTTCTCCTCTTCAACATCTTATCCAACATTGTTATGTTTACTAACTGGTTAGCATTTACTGGGTTTACCTTTTCCACTACGTTTCAAGCAGTTTTACGTGTCAGTAATGGCTTCCAGACACTCCTTACTCTTTTTTTATTTTTTCAGTTTTGATTGTCCTTTCCTCAGAAAGTTGAGAGAAACAGAATGTGAGCCGATATAACAGTAACTCCAAGAAAAAGAGCCAAAGGAGTTTTCTAAAAGTATTTCTGAATGTATGTACATACAAATTAATTCCTATGGTGAACGAACAATAAAAATAAATACAGTTTCTTCAGGAAAATGAGACACTGATCACTTGTATTTTCCTTTTAAAGAGAGTTTCCAATTTGTTTCTCATATAGTTGAGTCACAACTCAGCAACTGTTAGAAACAAATTTCCAGTTGCTTTATTTCAATGAACCTAAACCTGATAGTTAGGACTCATGCACATTTCATCACTGTAAGTGGTCAAGTATCAAGAGATCCTAGGAAATACTGACGTAAAGGAGAGTCCATGAGCTAGAACAACGTAACGCAGGCAAAAGGACACCAAACTTCCCAAAATAGACATCCAATCTAGCTGGCTTGCTTTCTTATGTGCTTCAAAATTAAAAATGGATATCCTGAGGCCTGAAATCTGTTTAGTTAACAGGCGCTATCCTTTGAAGTTAAACAGGTTGTTGGTATTAGAACCACTTTGTCGGGGACTGAGTCAATTTACCCCATCTGTAAGCTACAATAAAATAATTAAAATTTAAACTTAGTTAATGGTGACAATGCAGAGCCCTATGATTTAAAATGTTTTCAGGTTAAAGATCTTTATTACCATACACGTTTGATTTGATATTAAATTAACAAGGATATTACTGTAATTAGTTCCCAGAAACACAGTCATCATATATTTGATCACTATAGTGATCAAAATGGGAAAAGAGAAGCTTTGTGGTTAACTACAGCCCACTGTGCTGGAAGGCACATTTGATTCTGAAGGTGAGACTTCTCAGTCCAAAGCCCTTCACAGGAGGCACAGCACATTACTCACCGAATGGCTGTCGTGTCCAGTGGTTAGTAAAAGACCTCCAGAGTCTTACGTGTCAATCAATGAATCAGTTTTACCTCCCTGGGGTCAAAACAGTCAAATCCAGCAACGGAACACACAGGTCATGAAATAATCAGACTCTGAGATGACAACCACAAGATCAGGAAAGAATGATTCAGACCTTATTACTAAGCAAGTCAGATTTCTAAGCTAAGAACAATGGACCAGGGGATTCTGGAAAAGTCTCCCTTTTTCATAGGCAAGCCTGGCAAATATCAGCTTAACTTCAAAAGCAGTCATTCTCAAAGCACATTTTGTATGAAATAATATAGTCGAAAAGAGAGTAAGGGCTAGCAGAGTATTATGTGTAAATAATATGGAGATGACTTCATGTAGAAGAGATGGAAAAAATTGAGGGTTAAAGCAGGTATCTTGACCTCAAAAGTCTATAGGTGCCAGGAAGCTTAGATTTGTTAAGATTTGTTGGGTTAAATACTTAGGAAATGATAAAGCCTAGCAAACGTCAATCCATGAAATCATAACAACACTAGACTTTTAATTTTCCAAAACATTTCAGGTACCTATTCTTGTATGTGACATTTTCAGATTGTCCGTTAGCAATTAACAAAAAAAAAAAAAATAAATAAAAAATTAGGCGAAAGTATGGCCTGTGGGCTACCTGTTTGCAAGCTCTTCTCTAAATTGTAATTTTAAATAATGCAATAAACAATGTTTAAAAATAGCACAGTAAACAACAGAAAACTCCTCACATAACAAGGTTTACATGAAATGATTGTGCCTTGATTTCTGCTACCACGAGAGACAGTCCATGCATGCAAAGGCTAGGTTATCAGAACACTTGGGAAACATTTCCTAAATTACAATATCTACACCATCACCACCACCATGCCTGAGGCCCAGGGGGAATAAGAGCTTGAGTAGGGATACAAAGCTTGCAAAAGGTCCCCAAGAACTGACGGCACAACCTCCCAATCTGGGGATCACTACTTCAGGAAAGAAGGCGTCTTCGTGTAACTGAAAGGGATGTGTCTAAATTGTGAAGACCAAACTCACTGAGCCTGAGATGTCAACTAGCACATGTAAAATGGCTCTGAAAATAATAACTGCAAATATCAAAGATGACAAGGAGACCATGGTAAGTGCTTCTGGTATCATATTAGTTATTTCAGCCCCATGCATAAAAAGAAAACAATCATCTACTTGTTTACTGTGAAACATTAAAAACTTGATGCATTTGAAGAATGTGTGTATGTGTACATGTGTGGGTTTGTGTGCATATATAACAAAAAGCAAGGACACAGTGAAAGTAAGGATGGTGTTTTGATCATTGTTTGTTAGGTTTAGGTCCTCAGGTTCATTACTCAGTGAGGGAAGAACAGAGTTTTATTTCCATGTGATGCCAGACTGCAAATAGAAAAAGGTTAACAGGGCCTCCCTGGTGGCACAAGGGGGATAAGACGTAACCTATGAAGGCGTCCACAGCCTCTGCAGCACGAGTTTGATCCCCGCTGGCCAGGGAGCAACCCACATGGCGAGCAGACCTCTCCTGACTCGCCCACTGCTCCCCTCAGCAGTGTATTTCAGTCACTCTGCCTGTTCTGCTCCCCACTCTGTCTCTGGTGAATCCTCTCACCTCCTGCACCTCTGGCCTGTACCCCAGCTCTTGTATGCATAAATAAATAAATCTTTAAAAAAAGAAAAAAGTTAACAAATACTTTGGCATGTTTTTCTACTTCTTATCCTTATAAAAAATTACAGCAGAACTTTTTTATTAAGACAGCTAAACATAATCAGGATTAACATATATTATTGTCAGATTTCATATATGTGTAAAAGATATACCTATCTTCCTGGGATTTGTTAATGTCTCACTAATCTTTCGCACTCCCTAATCTAAGCCTGCTTTTGAATTTAAGCTTGAGTTCTCCTAACTCACCTTGTAAGCTGGTGCCTAATGGTCTTCCAGGTCAGCTTTCAGGTAAAAGCTGTGCAATGTGCTTTATCCTCAGATGCCTGCAGCTTTTTCCCTGGGAACTTTGTCGACTGTTAAGTTATCTGGTAAGTAGCAGGGGTGGCTCCTCGATTTCCTCCTCTAATTGTTTTGCAGCAAGTGGCAGAAGCTGAAAAAGACAGATTACAGTTATAGTACAATTCCATAGAATTTTCATGAACTTCTCAGGTAGTGCCTATGAATGACTAATCAGAAAATTCCTTTCAATTTATCTTTTGAGGAGAAAATTCATAAGGATTGTGTCTCAGCTTTTCACCTCCTTGGCTCAATATTCTGTAATTTCAAAAATGTAATCACTGAAACCCTCAGCTATCAGTAATATTAATAATTTACATCTGACCCAGTATTTGGAGGAAGAAAACTCAATTTACACAGCAAGCAAAGTATATTTTCCAGAAACACATTTAACTCTCCAATTAAAGGTAAATCTTAAACAAGGTTTTTAAAAGCAACAAGTTTGATGTGGTCTCATCCCATGTGCCTATAAATGTATAATCCTGATAAATGTATAATCCTGATAAATGTATAATCCTGATAAAGACATATTTTAATACAATGTCTCTAATTTTTCTTAATAGTATATATAATTATTGCCTAAATTTTGAACAATCCTCTAGAAAGAACTGACTATACTATCAAAGAATACAGAATTTTCAACTTAACATAATTTCTCAGAAGGCCTGAGAAAGAGAAAAAATATTTATGAAAAGATAAAATATGTTCATTTCAAGTGAAAAAAGAAAACCTTAACAAGTAACATGAAGTAAAAGATAAATTAAGTTACTTTTATCCTAAAATGCAACTGTGGATTTTCCTTTCAAGTCACAAACCTCTCCAGCAAATACGTTTATTTATAGCTTTAAAAATTACGCACCAGGTTTGATTTTTTTGTTGTTCGTTCCTGCATTTTGTTTTAGTTTTTATCTTTTTATTTATGGAGAGGGAAACACACACACACACACACACACACACACACACACATTCTAAAAGACTATGGGTAATGAAAGTATAAAAGGTTTACATCTATCCAGCATCTTATGCTGTAAAAGGTACATTTTTCTGGAGGGGGTGGGAGGGAGTTTGTTTTAAACTTCCCTCCTCCTAGCTGTGTGGAGATTTCTGGACCTACTAAACATAGAGCTTCCATATGATCCAGCAATTCCACTCCTAGGTATTTACCCAAAGGACACAGAAACATCAATTCCAAAGAGCACCTGCACTCCTATGTTTATAGCAGCACTGTTTACAATAGCTAAGCTTTGGAAACAACCCAAATGCCCAAAAATAGATGACTGGATCAAGAAGATGTGGTACATATATACCATGGAATATTACTCAGCATTCAAAAAAGATAAACACATGCAATTTGCAGCAACATGGATGGCACTGGAAGGGATCATGCTCAGCGAAATAAGCCAAAAAGAAAAAGAAAAATACCGGATGGTCTCACTCATAGCAGGAATCTAGAAAACTTAAATAAGGGACCAGGAAAATGAATATAAGAAAGTGAAAATCAAAATCAACAAAAAAACTATGAACCAGAGACACTTTTTGGGGGGTGGGGGGGCGGGAGGGGAAGGATTGGGGTCAGAATGGGGCGTTTGCAATTGTATGGGGGAATATAAAAATAAAATTTAATATTTAAAAAAAAAAAAAAAAAACTTCCCTCCTCCTTTAAAAAGTAATTCTTTAAAAAGTCTCCACTGTGTTAGATTTCTGGACCTACTAAACATAGAGCTCCCATATGATCCAGCAATTCCACTCCTAGGTATTTACCCAAAGGACACAGAAACATCAATTCCAAAGAACACCTGCACCCCTAAGTTTATAGCAGCACTATTTACAATAGCTAAGCTTTGGAAACAGCCCAAATGCCCAAAAATAGATGACTGGACCAAGAAGATGTGGTACATATACACTGTGGAATATTACTCAGCATTCAAAAAAGATAAACACATGCAATTTGCAGCAACATGGATGGCGCTGGAAGGGATCATGCTCAGCGAAATAAGCCAAAAAGAAAAAGAAAAATACCGGATGGTCTCACTCATAGCAGGAATCTAGAAAACTTAAATAAGGGACCAGGAAAATGAATAACTATAAGAAAGTGAAAATCAAAATCAACAAAAAACTATGAACCAGAGACACTTTTTGGGGGGTGGGGGCCGGGAGGGGAGGGATTGGGGTCAGAATGGGGCATGTGCAGTTGTATGGGGGAATATAAAAATAAAAAAAAATTAAAAAAAAAAGTCTCCACTGTGTTATAAAACAATCCCAAGCATCTTTGTAGGTTCCAAATAAATTTTAATTTATGATTATGATGATAACACAGAAGAACTAAGGTTAGGGTTCATCAAGATTTTTTTTCCTATGCTCAGCATTCTGTTTATTTTTTGAAACACTGCTCAATCCATGCTCTTTAATCCACATAATGAAGGGCAGACTGAAAATGAATGGCCAGCTACAGAAACGCCTCTGCCCATTTCTTTCTTGTTCCTTCCTTGGATGGAACCTGTGAAGCTTTAGGAAAGGAGAGAATACTAAAAAAGAAAGAAGAAAAAGCATGATCAAGAGTCCCCTGTGCTATTACTACAGTTCTTTTTCACCCACTTCAGTCCCATTGCTCTGCCTTAGTCTTATTCACCATAACTTCTTACTATCCTTTAATGGTAACTGGAGAGTTAAAGGAGACTAGAGCAGCACGGGATGAGACTGAGGTTTCCATCTCTGCTCCCCCATATTCAGTCACAGAGGGGACAAAGAAAGCAGCATCAACTTTACTGTCTGCTGACCATACCTAAGGAACATCCCCTGCTCCTCACACACACTGCCTGTGCCTTTGTGTCCAGTCTATATAACTCAGACCTGAGGAGCATTTTTCCACTTCATTCTTCCTTTCCCTAGTCATCCTTTCAAAATTTAGGTCAAAATCACAACTCACAACTCCTTCACTGATCTTTCCAGCTCCTAATGGCACCTGGTACTTCTGGTCAGTGCTACTAGTGTGAGCTAATTCTGGTCTGACGTGTTGCTTACACCTCTTATCTCCCTAGCAGACAAACTCTGGGAAGCAAGGACAAGACTTTCCACTCCTGCACACAGTAAGTGTGAGGATTTTTTACAAAGTGAAATTTACAAGGTCTCCATTTATAGGTGCTTTGTAAGAAATGAATCTATTATTGTCCAATTTGCAGAAAAGTGTGCTTCACACAGCCTGGATGCGATGTGAAGGGATGAGGGTTGTGGTTTGTTCTGAGACTGTGATTAACATTTTTAAGGATATTCTGTGCAATTTTCAAAAGACGAGCATGATAAAATATAGTGCTTTCTACAACCTTCAGAGAGGTTAAAAATGACCATATAATCAATGATTATATATTAATACTCACTGAAGCCAGAAATATTAGGACTATTTCTAACAGTTCAGCTTCAAAAACTTGATTTGAATAGAAAGATGTATAGCACATTTGCATTCCAAATTCCAGATGTCTTACTATTTTAAGTCTTATTTGAAAACTGTGAAGTTAATCAAAAGTAGCAACCAAACTTTCTTTGAATGACCTGTATGGGGCCTTATTTTACCTTGCATAAAATACGTCTGGGGTAGAAGTCCAAAGGTGATAAGTTTATGACACTCACATTGATTATTTCTTGCAACAACATACATCAAAGATTAATTCTTTTTTTTTTTAAAGATTTATTTATTTATTATTTATACAAGCACTGGGTACAGTCAGAAGCGCAGGAGGGTGAGAGAATTAACCAGAGCCAGAGCGGGGAGCAGAACAGGCAGAAGGACCGAAGTACACTGCTGAGGGGAGCAGCGGGCGGCAGGAGAGGTCTGCGCACCATGTGGGACCCTCCTCCGGTGGCCGGGGAGCAGCCGGGGATCGAACCGGCGCCGCAGAGGCCGCGGGCAGCTTCGCAACCCAGCGCTCAACCGCTGCGCCACCGGGGAGGCCCCCAAAGATTAATTCTTAAAAGCTCTATTAATTCTTAAAAGAAATAAACTCAGAGAAGGGAGGCGGCTGTTTCTTTTTAAAACTATCTAACATTGATACTGGTTTTTATCAGCTCATAGAAAAAGGAATCATATTCCAATTTAAGACATACTCTGCAGACCAAAGAGGCTACAGACACATTCCTCCTAAGTCATTAATCAATTCAAAGTTGAGAAGGTTGATATGAACAGTCTCCTATGCCAACAAGTACTCGGGTAGGAGTCTCTGGGAAAAATCTCACCAAGGAAGTTTAGTGATTTGGCAAAGATTCCTTCTAAATGGCTCATTCAGGAAAGGAATGATCCACTATCTCAGCAACAGGATCTTTCCTGGAAGTTGTCCTATGAGTAACCCTCCCACAGCCTGGTTTTGCCCAATATCCACTGTGTTCTTGTCCACCACACTCTCCATATATTCCCTCATTTTTTATTCAAGCCCCCTCAGAACGCAAGACGTGCTCTCTACAAAAGACTAAGCCTTCTGTGCCCCTCTGGTGGCACAAGGGGTTAAGTCTCAGCACTATGAAGCTATAGGCAGCCACTGCAACAGGAGTACGATCCCAGCCAGGGAGCTGACCCACCTGAGGCAGCAGACCTCACCTGTCACACCCGCTGCTCCCTTCAACAGTGCATTCAGTACATCTGCCTGTTCTGCTCCTCACTCTGTTTCTGGTGAATCCTCTCACCCCCTGCACTTCTGGCCTGTACCCCAGTTCTTGTATGCATAAATAAATAAATTAAAAAAAAAAAGACTAGACCTTCCGTGTAGCAACCAAGTTAATGCATAGAATGCAAAGTGAAGATGAGATAAAGCAAGCACCATTATCCTGTAAAATACAAGAGGAAAGATTCTCAAAATAGTAAAGACATTAAAGACGACCAAAACAACCAGAAGAGTTATTTCCACAAACTTAGCAGTCTACATAGCAAAGTCCATTTCCCAACAAGAATAAGTGATGAGACCTTTTTCCTTTGTTTCAATGCCTACATTGTGTTCATGAAGGGTTGGTCTTAATTTAGAGTTATATATCATTAACTGCCTTCCCAGAAAAATGTAGCCAAAGCATAGCACAAGACCTCTGTTCATTATCATGCTTACTTTGTCAACT